ACAATGCCCAAATGGAGAGAGAGAGAGAGAGAGAGAGAGAGAGAGAGAGAGAGAGAGAGAGAGAGAGAGAGAGAGTGCCTGTCAAAGAGGCAGGCAGGGGGTAAGGGGTGGGCTGAGCCCAGCATCAACTCTGGCAAGCCCAGAAGGTGGCTCCTACCTCACCCGAGTTTCTCCAGAGACTCGAAACAACCTTCGAATGAAGCCATGCAGAACAAAGCCAGATCTATTGGCTGGGATTTGCTGCCTCACCCAGCTCAGAACATCGTGGCACCTGGCCCAGGAGCGAGTCAGTGGGCTAAACCTACGCTCTCATGAAGAGCTCCACTGAGCAATCCCGGAGCACCAACCAAGCCAGGGTAACCCTGAGCACTGCTGGGTTCCAAAACCCAAACCCCAAAATTGGTGGGTTCTTTTATTTTTCCTTCTTTTTTTTAAAAAAAACCTTTTTTTATTTTATAAAGTAGTTCACAATATTTGATTACATTTAATATTCAAACACCAATCCCACCACCATTACACCTTCCCACCACCATGTTTCCATCCTGAACCCCAACCCCTGCCCCAAAGCAGAACTGAAATAATATATTTTGTATTGTTTGTGTCGGATTTCGGAAGGGAGAACCTTGGGAACGACATATCCATCCTGTGGAATTTGGTATGTCGGCAAGTGGACATGGCTATCGAAGAGATTTGAGTAGAAGTCATGGATAATCTTCTCCATTGCCATTCTGGAGGATGTGATGGATCCATCAGGACGTCGGAGGGCAGTCATCTTGGTCTTGTAGTTGGCGAAGGACAGGCGGGCGTTATGAATACTTTTCCCGGCTTCTGCCGCATCTACCAGCACTTCTGCTCTTCTCTCTTTGAGGTCTTCCTTGATCTCATCTCTGCACTGCTTTGCGAGCTCGGATGTTAGTTTGCGGTTGCCTGAGGCATGCGCCAAACCACGCTGGCGAATTAGCTCAAGAGTTTTCGAAGATAGGTGATTTTTTTGTGGCTATCTCTCTCTTGGCGTTCCTCGCACATTCATGGAGGTGCTGAACCAGTCGATCGTATTCCTCATCAATGTTGTCAACAATGGCATCTTCCTATGTTGCCGCAATAGTGCCAAAGAGTTCCCAGTTGGTGGTCGTTCTGGGAGTTCTCTTTTTGAACTTTGCAGCCCTTTCTCCCCGCTCTGTGAAGTAGAATTTTGCACGAAGGAGACGGTGGTCCAATCCCATTAGAAATTTTGGGACAACAGCGACATGGGTCAGGCAAAACCGTCGATTGAATATGATGTGGTCTATTTCGTTGTGGAATCGTCCACTGGGAGACTCCCATGTCCAACATTTAGATTCTGCCTTCTGGAACTGTGAGTTACCATGGATGGTCTTGGTCGACATGATGAACTCAGGCAGTCTCTCACCCTGTTCGTTCCATTCTAGGCCATGGGTCCCGACGTGAAGTTCTTCAGCTGATCTTCTCGGTCCTATCTTGGCATTAAAATCACCCACGATGATCTTGTAGAAGGTGTGGTCTTCTTTATAGAACTTCTCCAGCTCCATGTAGAACTTCTCGATTTCTCTTTCATCATAATGAGATGTTGGTGCGTAGACAACGAAGATAGAAACTGCAGGCAGTGAGCCACATCTATTCAAATGTAAACGCCATTTCTTCAATAAAGAAATAAACAGTACCCGGCCCAGACAAGGTCAGACCTGAACACCTGAAGAACCTGCCATCAGTACTCATCAATACACTGGCTCGGCTCTTCACTCGCTACCTGTCTGAGTGCAAGGTTCCGTCCCAATGGAAAACCAGCAGGACCGTACTACTGTTCAAGAAGGGAGACATCCATGACATTGGCAACTATCGCCCTATCTGCCTATTGTCTGTCATCTACAAGTTGTTCACTCGAGTCATCCTAAATAGGATTGGCAGAACACTAGATGAAGGACAACGATGTGAGCAAGCTGGATTCCGCAAAGGATTCAGCACCATCGACCATATCCACACAATAACCAAACTCATTGAGGTTTCTCGGGAGTTCAAGATGCCGCTCTGTTTAACGTTCATTGATTTAAAGAAGGCCTTTGATTCTGTTGAGATGGAAGCGGTCATTGAAGCCCTAGCCAATCAGGGCATTCAAGCCCAATACATCAGGATCCTCCGTGAGCTGTATTGTGGATTCACTACCAGGATCTCACCATTCTACAAAGAAGTGATCGTTGATGTCAAGAGAGGGGTGCGGCAGGGTGATACCATTTCACCGAAACTCTTCAGTGCCACCCTCGAGAACATCATGCGATGACTGGAATGGGAAGGAATAGGAGTGAAGATAGATGGTCGGCAATTACACCACCTCCGCTTTGCTGATGACATTGTTTAATAACACCAAACATCAGCCAAGCGGCACAAATGCTGGCCGACTTTGACCGTGAGTGTGGAAAGGTCGGACTACAGCTGAATCTTACGAAGACAATGTTTATGAGAAGCAGCCTCATTCCTGACGCCCCATTCGCTCTCAACGGAACGACCATCTCCGAATGCAACAGCTATATGTACCTAGGTCGAGAGGTCAACATGACAAATGACCTGGCACCCGAGCTGCGCAGGAAGAAGAGAGCGACTTGGAACGCCTTCAAGAACGTCAAAGAAATAGCTAAGAGGACAAAGAACCTCTGACTCTGGGCACATCTCTTTGATTCCACTGTTCTTCCTGCATTAACATATGCCTCAGAGACCTGGGCCCTACGCAAACAAGATGAGAACGCTATTCAGGTCTCCCAAAGAAGAATTGAAAGAGCTATGCTTGGAATATCACGTTTCACTCAAATGAGAGAAAAAATCCGGAGTTCCGACATCCGTCGACGATCAAGAATCAGGGACGCTGTCTCGTTTGCCAAGGTGTCAAAAATCAGATGGGCTGGTCACGTAATGAGATTTAAAGACGACCGCTGGACTAGAGCTGTTACTGACTGGATTCCACGGGATGTCAAAAGACCGCGTGGCCGCCCACCTACCAGATGGTCAAACTTCTTCGTGAAGATCATGAACGATCGGTTTGAGGCTCTTCATGTTCCCGGAGCGAACAGATGCCATTGGGCTACACTAGCACGCGACAGGGACAAATGGAGATGTTACTGGCGCCCGCTCGAGCAAATCGCCGACTAACGGGAAGTTAAGTGATTAAGTGATTAAGTATTGTTTGTTATGAAAATCCACTGAAAATGCCACATAAAGGTTCCTTAGAGGAAAGAGTGTGAAGATTGCTGTATTTCACCCAGGGGCTATTAAGTCCTCCTATAAGAGAGCACTAACACAGTTAAAGGTTGAGCCGTGTGTGTGTGTGTGTGTGTGTGTGTGTGTGTGTGTGTAAAGAATATATTTCCCTCATATGGGTTGCCTCCTACTTTGAACTCCATCAAATATGGTGCAGTACTCTTGGAATATGGGTGGTGTGTGCTATGAAGTGTTGCGAATGCGGCCACACAGTCCAGGAATGGGTTCACTCATGGGTGAGACTCGGCCCGAGCATGTAGAGAGTGGTTGTGAGCATGGTGGTGGTTGAGTTCTGGAGTTTTTCAGCTGCTGGGTCTGGGTCCCTTGGGGCGGAGAGGAGTCTCACCTGCCCCCCTCTGGGATGCCTCGAATGAAACAGCTTGGCGTGGGGTCCAGTGGCATGGTTATGGTGTTGTTATGCTCCCTTCCAGGAGAGGGCATGTGACTCTGGATGGTGGCCAATGATGAGATTATCGGGTGCCAGCTAGAGGTGGCTTATGCTTTTTTTTTTCTTTTTGGGGGCATTCCTGGCGATGCCCAGGGGTTACTCCTGGTTCATGCACTCAGGAATGACTCCTGGCGGTGCACGGGGAACCATATGGGATGCTGGGAATCAAACCCAGGTTGGCCACCTGCAAGGCAAAGGCCCTACCCGCTATGGTATTGCTCCACCCCCAGAGGTGGCCTATGGGTGTGACTGCTGAGTTGCCAGAAACAGGGGGATACCGGCGGAAGATCCCTGTTCCTGGTTCCGTTGAAGGTGGTTCTTTTATTTTACTTTATTTTATCCTTAAAAATGTTAATTCTTTTAAAAAATATTTTTAATTAAATCACTATAAATTACAGAGTTACTCAATTCATGACTGAGTTTCAGGCTTATTTTAGTAACAATCTCTTCGGAGTCCACTTTTCTCCATCAGTGTCCCTACTTCCCCTCCCACCTTCGCCCCCTCCCCCCCACACACTGTTATGGCAGAAAAAAAAAAGGTGTTTTTTTGAGGACCCGCCTTACCTGCCTGAGGTTGTGAGGATTTAACTATGAGCATGTGAGCAAAAGCTCAAAAACGCCCATGGCGGCCAGGAGGGGCCAAATCAATATTCACAGACAGCAGCAGGGCAGACCGTACCCGCCCCCTCCCACCCCCGCCCCCACCCGCACCCCCCACCCCCATCTCCCAGCAGTGGTGACTTCAGCATGCTCAGTGCAGTTCCTCGGAGACCTGCTATGTGGCCAGTGTGGTTGGTTTCCCTCCCGCCTGCCTCCTTCCTCCCAAAAAAGTGCCTCATGTCTCTACCGGGCCCTAGAGCAGGCAGATAGACATGAGCTGGAAACTAGCTTAACGGAGGTCGGAGGCATTCCGGTGACCCCTGTCTCTCTTCAGGGAGGGTGCTGGCAGAGAAGGCACCTGCGTGGAATGACTTGGAATAAATTCGTTCCTTGGCTCCCACTGTTCTTTCCAGCCCACGCCCTGCCCACCTTCCCTGCCCTTCCAGTCTTGTATTCATTCTCCCTTCCTGGGTTGGTCCACTTTTCCCTTCTCTGGGTCCCCGGTGCCTTCAAACCCCTACCCCCACTCTGGAAAGGAGCCCACCTCCGGCATTATGACATCACTGGGCGTCAGCCAATGGCCACCACCTCCCACCATTGCTAGGAGCCGGCCCCTTCCCCCAGCAGCCCCTTCTCACTGCCAGGCAGCACCAGAGCATGGGTCCCTCCTGAGTCCCCTCTCAGCCCCATGTTCCTCACGGTCAAGCTGCTCCTGGGCCGAAGATGCAGCCTGAAGGTGACAGGGCAGGAGAGTGTGGCCACGCTCAAGAGGCTGGTGTCCAAGCGGCTGCAGGTGCCTGAGGAGCAGCAGCACCTACTCTTCCGAGGGCAGCTCCTGGCCGATGACAAGTACCTGTCGGACTACAGCATCGGGCCCCACGCCTCCATCAACGTCATCGTGCGGCCCCTGGAGAAGCCAGCGCCCCTGTGGCCCCGTGTGGGCGGCATCCTGGCCCAGCACTTTGAGCCGGAGGATGCCAAGAACGTGCTGCAGCTGGTGAGGCAGGAGCACGAGGAGCGTCTGCAGAAGATCAGCCTCGAGGCCCTGGAGCAGCTGGTGACCTACCTCCTGGCTCAGGAGGAGAGAGTCCCGGCAGAGACAGAGCCACGGGCCACCACCTCCGAGCTCCCAGACCAGGAGGAAGTGGAAGAGAAGGAGGAGGCAAAGGAGGAGGAGGAGGAGAAGGAGGTGGTGGTGGTGGAGGAGGAAGAGGAGGTCCAGGAGGAGGAGGAGGTCCAGGAGGAGGAGGAGGAGGATGCTGATGTGTAAAGGGCCGTCCTACTCACGCACACGCTCCCTCCATCACATCGCCTGTGTCTCGGGGCCCACCACGGGCTCCCACCCACTGAGACGTGTGCTTGCTCCACCGTGAAACGTCTGAGCACCTCTCGGACTGTGCTCACTTCTGAACTTCACAGTGATCCCACCTCTGTTGCCATCCCTGATGGGATTCTTATTGCCCTGTGGGCAACACACCAGGGGCTGCCTCCCTCTTCTGGGCGGGCACCCCCCGCGAACCCCACTCACCCCCCAGCCAGCCCCCCACCTCCACAGCCTTCGACACATGCTCCCTCCCTTCCCAGACTCCCTAGGACAAAAGAGGATGCATCACCCTCCAGGGTGGTCATCCTGCTGACCTGGCTCTTAGGCAGAAGTGCAGACCAGAGGAGACAGTCCCCGCTGTCTGTGACACGGAGCAGCCGCGCAGGAGGCTGAGTGTAACTGCAGACCATCTTCGGTCACTCTGGGAGCATTGCCACGTCTCACCCTGCCCCAGTCACATCAGTCAACAGATATCACCAGGTTCCCAAGGGCCCAACTGGTACCTGCTGGGTGCAAACATGACCAGTAAAGCCTGGACCGACCCCCACATGTGGCCTGAGTGAATGCATGCCAGGAGGAATGGAGGAGGGAGGGAGGAAGGGAACTTGGAAAGAAGGAAGGAGGGAGGGAAGGTGGGAAGGAGGAAAAGAGGAAAGGAAGGAAGGAAAAGGAAGGAAAGGGAGGAGGGAAGAGGGGAAGAAAAGGAGGGAGGGAGGGAAGGAAGAGAAGGAAGGAAGGAAGGAAGGAAGGAAGGAAGGAGAAGGAAGGAAGGAAGGAGAAGGAAGGAGGGAGGGAAAGAAGGAGGAAGGAAGAGAAGAAAGGAAGGAGAGGGAAGGAAGGAAGAAGGGAAGAAAGAAAGGGAAGGAAGGAAGGAAGGAAGGAAGGAGAAGGAAGGAGAAGGAAGGAGGGAGGGAAAGAAGGAGGAAGGGAAGAAAGGAAGGAGAGGGAAGGAAGGAAGAAAGGAAGAAGGGAAGAAAGGAAGAGGGAAGGAAGGAAGGAAGGAAGGAAGGAAGGAAGGAAGGAAGGAGAAGGAAGGAGAAGGAAGGAGGGAGGGAGGGAAAGAAGGAGGAAGGGAAGAAAGGAAGGAGAGGGAAGGAAGGAAGAAAGGAAGAAGGGAAGAAAGGAAGAGGGAAGGAAGGAAAGAAGGAAGGAAGGAGAAGAAGGAAGGAAGGAGGGAGGGAGGAAGGGAGGGAGGAGGGAGAGAGGGAGGGAAGGGAGGAGGGGAGGGAGGAGGGAGAGAGGGAGGGAAGGGAGGAGGGGAGGGAGGAGGGAAGTGTGGAAACAAACAGCCCTTCCTGGGGAGACAGTGCGTGTCTGTCACCCATGTGGCCTGGCTGCCACACTGAGCTTGCCTTCCCCTTCTGCGTGGCCATGCCCTTGCTTTGCTGGCTTCCCTACCATGCGTGGCAGGTCCAGCGGCACCTGCTGACCTGCCAGTGTCTGTGAAAACCAGGGTGCCCGCTGGGCGGGTGAGGGCAGGGTATCTCAGAGGGGAGGTGGCGCAGTGACAGGAAGCCCCAGAGACTGGAGACGGAGCCGCTGCTGTGTGCCTGAGGGAGGGTCACCCCACGCCGCTCACCAGCACCTCCTCCCCCAGCCTCGGCCCGTTCACCCCAGCAGAAAGGAGAGAGCGCAGGGGCCTCTGAGGACACGGCCGCCCACCCGGGGCCTGCCCCAGGCTTCCTGGGGGATCTTGTCTCAGCCCTGCTGCGTGGCGAGACCTCCCGTTGGCTCACAGACACTCGTGCTGGGCTGTGCCACTTGCCAGGGGGACGAGCCCTATTATCTTCACATTAGGGGAACTAATAGCCCATTTCCCAGGAAATCTGCGAGCAATAAAACTAAGTGGGCCGTTTTATTTCTTTTGCTGCGAGGAGCTGGCATGAAGGATGGGGGAGTCCTTGTCTTTGCTCTGGAAGCAGGAATGTCAGGACTGGCAGCGAGTGGACAAGGGTGCAGCCAGGGCCTCGCTCCGTCCCCAAGGCCACAGGGAGGAGGATCTTGGTCCCCAATTGGCAGAGGCAGGAGTCACTATACTCCTGTGCCTGGCTTCCCTCCCGAGGCCTTTTCTGTACCCACAGTGAGAGACCCGTGGAGAAGAGGCCTTCAGCAATGCTGACTTCAGCGGAAGCTGCTGCCATGGGTATCCTGCCCCAGGGAAGTTGTACTTAACACCCATTCAAAGCAACATCCTGCCCCAGGGAAGTTGTACTTAACACCCATTCAAAGCAACAGGCTGCCTTTGTCCCAGGATGGATGAACTTGCAGTGTGGGTAGGCAGGTGGGGGGGGGGGGGGAGCTGGGGCAGGGCAGCACCCTGTCTGTCCCCCAGGGCTGGGTCTAGCCTGCTTGGGCCCGGCCTGGCTGGGTCCACCTTGATTCTGAGCGCCCTGCAGGATGCGCCTGTGAAAACAGATTTTGAGAGTCTGAATTCAGGACTGAGGTTTTGGCCTGGGTGGGGAGGATGCAGGGGGGATTAGTGGACGCCACTAATGGACAATGGTAGAGGGAGAGCGGCACTTTGGGAGCAGGTGTGGTGTGGTACCATTGCGCTCCTAAAACGTAAACACACTCCTGCAGGTTACTTAGAGACAGACAAGCCCTTCCTTGCGGGGAGGTTAAGAACACTCAAGGCGATGCTGCAGGAATAAATTTTAAGCTCTGAACTGCTGTGTAGAAGTAGTGCTCATGTCCACACCCCTGCCCCCACTGCCCAAATGCACCCACATAGGGCTCTCTGGCAGCGCCCAGGAAACTCATTGGCCAGTTCCCATGGGGAGGGCTGGGTCCCAGGGTCTCAGGGAGACCAAGGCACCAGGCTTGGATATTGTGCCTGGAGCCCCGAGACCAGGAGCTGCTGTGGTTGCCCCCATCTGCTGTGGTTCCCAGGGGTACCAGCCCTGCTGTCCTCAGAGACACCCCTGGACTCACACTCTGCCCCGTCCATTCCACCCTCACTGCCGCATGGGGGCTTCTGCTGGGAAGCTGGGGTGGGGTTTGGGGATGTGCTGAAAACTGTCTCAGGAATGCAGGTACTAACTTTCCTAGAAGGATTGGCCTGTGGGAAAGGCTGTAACAAATGACCTGATTCCTCCAAGAGAAAGGAAAACAAGAGCCAAAAAGAGGAAATGTGAGAGATGCATCGGCTAACTGCAATGTGTGGAATCCTTTGGATCTTGATTTGAATCAACTGATTTTTTTTAAGGGCTGGAGAAATGGCTCATGAGGAGTTCTGTGGGGTGGGGAGGGGGGACTCCTCAGAGCCCCTCTGGGTTCTGGGTATGACCCCAACCTGCTCCCCATACCCCAAGAAAATACAATTGGGGAAACTTAAGCATTGATTAGATATGTGACAGTATTAAGAAATTAACACATTTTTCAACAGGAGCTAATACGCTTTTTAAAAGACTTCTTGCAGAGCTTCTCACTGACTTCGGGTGAAATGGTTTGTGGAATAATCTAGTGAATTGGATCAGATAGAACGATGGTGGGGAGCTCATTGGTCTTATTCTGTGTTTGAGTTTGAAGTGTTTCATTCCAGAGGCTTATTTAAAAAATTTCTGGGGTGCTGTTCAGAGACAGGAGATTTTTCTCCCACAGATGCCTTCTGTGGAGATACCCCGGGGAGAGCAGTAGCTGCCTCATCCCCATGAACTTCCTCCCCCGCATCCCATTCACCGCCCATGGTCCAGTCTGTCCCAGGCAGATAGCCAGCCCTCTGGAAGCGCCACTCATGCAGAAAACCAGCCCTGGGTTCTCATTGCCTTGAGGGTTTCTTGCTTAGAATCTCTTCTGATACTCATCTTGGGCCACGGAGTCTACCCTGACTGATGTAAGCAGAGAGGAATGAATGAAAAGGTTATGAGGTTGTTGATTCACCCTTGGAGAGGGCCAGGAGAACTTCCTGCTCATGCCCCCAGAACTGACCTGCTGAAATAGCCTGTCCTGTAGTCCGGCACCCAGCAGGAGGCACCTCCCAGAGCCTCCCCAGAGAGGTCATTTCTCTTGGCCCAGCACCACCTCCAGTTCCTCTCCATCATGCCCAGGTCTCCCAGAAACCTTCTAAGTGGAACTTGGTCACGTGGGGACCCCTCAGTTGCAAAGAGCACTGGGAAATGTAGTTGTGTGATTTCTAGCCTCTGGCACAGGAAAACAAGAGTTTCTCACTTCAATCCCAGTTTTCCAGTGACCTAAGCTTGACCCTAAATAGACTTTCACTGTTTCGTGCCTGAGGCGAGATCACTAGCCCACATCCAAGAGCAGATATTCACCTCCATGCCCTTCACCCAAAGAAGGGTGAGCTGCCCAAGTCGCAGAGCTATTCTAGAGCAGAACCTTGACACGGCCGGGTGAGAATGTCTTGCCATTTCTACTTGACTTGGTTTTGCTTCTGTAGTTCATTATCCTGCCTCCAACCCAAGATGACAGGCCCTATACCAGCTTCTGGTGAGCGACAGCACAGAGCGGCAGTGGGAGCATTGCCCCAGATTCAGAAGGCTGGGAGCCCCCTGGGAGCTGGGCTGGCCTGGGGGCATGATCCTTTGGTCTGTTCCCTCAGAGGCTCAAGCATCCGCTTTAGAGATCTATGAGCGGGATGAAATGATCTATGGGTGCGGCTTAGAATACAGCCATGCTCATTCGGCTTTGATGCTTGGCTTTGATGCCCTCCTGGCCAACGGGGGAAGGAGGGCCCAAAGTGGCAGCTCTTAGGCACCCAGAAGGCCTCTCTGCCTTTCCTAGGAGTCTGGTTTGAAAACTTCTAGGTTCACTGAGGGTAATGTTTTGTTAGTTTTTGTTGAGGGGATTTTTTTTTTTTTTTAGTGGTGCTCAGGGCCCACTCCTGCCTGGCTCTCTGCTCAGGGATCACTCCTGGTAGGAACTGGGGATCATATATGTTGCTTGGGATTGAACTGGGATCAGCTGGTTGAGTGATCCAGCTGAAAACCTTAACCCCTGCACCATCTCTCTGGCTCCTCCTGAGGGTGCTGTGCCAGAGAGGGGCAGACACAAGAAAGAATATGGGGGGAGGGGGGGCGGGGGGGCAAAAGGGTGGCCAGGGTTGGGCCTCCCCAGGTTGGGACTGACTCCACGTTCCCCTGAGGGACTCTGTGGAGGCGCCAAGGCCTTGACTACAAGGGTCCTGAGAAGGTTCACTTGCAGTCTGGTTAGACTGGTTCAGAACCAGGACTCCCACCCCTCTTTGGGAACCCTAAGAATCGGGCTGGCCCCTGAGTGTGGATGGTGGGGGAACCCAGGGCCTTTGCTCAGC